CTCTTCCTTGATAGATGGTTTGGTCCATATCCTAATACCCAGTAGCCTCATGTGTGTGAGAATGAGTATTCCCATGTAGGCAAGGAAATGCACCTTTCTCCAGAAGATCCTTCAGACAACACTTTTACTGAGCAGCACTTCTGTTGCCTCAGTTTCCTAACTGTTCCCGTGTTCAAGGTTGGGGTATAATAAATACAGCATTGCAGAAATTAAAGATGAGTAATCCATTGCTTTCCCTCCTGCCTCACTTCCTTATCTTGCAAGGGAAGTGCCAAAAATCCCACAAGGCAATCCAAGGATTGTTTTCATTAAAAATACAAAATGCCCCTGGAGCAGAGATAATCTTTATTTATTAGGTTTACAACACACATCAACTTTAGGCAAAGAAAAGAGCCAGTGATGGCACTGGCAGTCCTTTGTGAATCGTCCTTTGTGAATACATAACTATTTCAGAGAATTTCAGAAGTAGGGATATGGGGTCAGAGCATTCTTTAATTGGAGGAGGCAAATTGGCTTCAATAATATGGGAAGATTCATAGATAGCTTAATAAAGCACTTTACTAGATAAAGGATAAAAGAACAACTCTCTAGAAAAAAATCAAAAGACCACATGGAATAGCAAAAACATCATGGATTCTAAATACTAGCAGAGCAAAGACTAGAACTGATGGACAAACATCTACTCAATGGTGACACTACTTAACCTCTTTAAGCTTGAGTTTCTCTAGAGAGTTACAGGGATGGTAAAGTCTACTGAGCAGGAACAGAATTCATATACAAGATATCACTTGAAGTTAACATCTGAGGAAAATAATTACTTCTCCTAGTTCCCCTACTGGCTTCTATATACTCAAAGGCATCATCTGTCCATACTGCCTTAAATTTTACTAGAAACATGGATGCCCATGCTTTTAAATTCTTTGTGTATGCAACGTTTGGCACCTCACAAGTACAAATCTTATGGCGAGAAAGATAACGATGACATTCCAACAATGATATCTACACCTCCAACAAAAATGATGATGAAAAGTAAAATAATGGTAATGATATTAAAAGCAGGAAACTCCTTGCTACTTGTGGTGGGCCAAAAGACTGACATTAAACTTGGCTCTGTCTATATCATGGACATGTGATCTTGAACAATGGCTTAACCATCCTGTTCCTCAGTTGTATTGTCTGTGAAAAGGGATTTGCAACAGTACCTTCCTTCAGCAGGCACAGAACTGGGCACATTAGTATCCTGATAACATTTAGAACAGAATTTGGTGTAGGGAGATAATGACACCAGTGTTTGTTGAACAGGTAAACAGCAGGGTATCTCTGTATGTTCTAAACAGGGCACTATGGTTGGGAAGGGGTTGTCATTATTTGTGAGCTGGTAGTCCAAAGAAAAGTCCAACTACATGGTTACAAAGATGGACATATATTTAGGAATATATATATGTATAAATGCACATATATATGCAAATACATATATAAACAATTTATTAAAAAAGAGGTCATCAATTTCAAAGAGAGCAAGAAGGAGTATATGGAAGGGATTATAGGGCGGAAAGGAAGATTATATTATAATCACAAAAATAAAAGAATAAAAGAACTTTAGGATATCCTTTTAAGACACAGACCCTTCATTAGTCATGTGGGATAAAGGTCCTTGGCAGATACTCTGAAATTTCTTTCTAGAAGGTTGGAGAATGCTCTTTGTCATACTGGTATGTAACTGTTCATGTCAGTCTCTTACTATCTTTTAAATTAGAGCATGTCCACTATACTGTCACCAAGCATATTATAGAAGTAAAATTGATTTGACATAACAAAGCAAGACTTAAATGAAAATCTTGTCTGGAAAATAAATCTAATTACTGTAATTAACAGTGACAACCAAAAGGAACATTCTATACCACTACTATTCTATTATTATTAACATTAGGAAGATAATTCAATTGTCAACATATTTTATAATCATCACTTAGTTAATCCCCATAACGTGGTTCATGGCAATAAAGCTATTTATAGCTGGAGAGTCTCAGCTTTAATATCCAAATCATGACCAGTAGCAAATCAAATCACAATTCTTCTTGTTTGTATCACTTCAACGTGAGGAAGGAACTCCAGGGGCCACCTGGCACAGAACAGCCAAGCACTCATTCCCATGTGCAGTCTTCGTCTTCATTACACACACGAATAACAAGATCTCTTCTTGGATATGCACAGCTCCATGGAAGGATGGTCAAAAACGATATGCCTTCCCAGCTGCCAATAAAACTGCTATTCTAAAATTAAACATCTTTGTGCTGCATAGATTGTTGAAGTAAAACTTTATTCGTGATAGAATTCTTACAGTTTCAACAACTACCAGTTTATGTGATGTGTAACTAAAACAACAGGAAGGAAACTTTTGCTGAAAAACAATACCACAAATTTGAAATTTTATCATGATTGAGGCATAGAAAAATAAATATCTTTAATCATATACACACTTGTTCCACAATGAACAGGCTTTTGGATTTCATCAGAGAGGGACATTCTATTGGACCACAGACAAGGAATAATGACATCATGGCTAAGAATCTCCCATCTGACTCATGATCAGTCCTCATAGTGCCTGACTGCATTCAGCAATGAGGGTATGGGGATCACAAATGTGAGAATCTGCACAGTGAATACAGTCATGTTCTTCAGACACTTGGCTTCACATGGGAAGACTCAGTCAATCTGCACCTGGCATTCCTATGATCTCTTATACTATACAACAGAAATCATAGCTTCAGAGTGTCAGGAGAGGCAGGAAGAGTTGCCACCCACTGTTGCTTACTGTTATATTTTGCTTTGTTACCACATTTTTTCCACCCTATCTTCGATGCTGGAAGGTAAGAAATGTGATCTTTTGTCAACAAGCCAGTTGATTCCAGCTATACAATGTTACCAGCACAAGAGACATGCCACAGAGTTCAGTAATGAATAAACATTAATACAGTAAAAATCAGCTTGGGAGTAACCTGATCTACAGCAAAAGTTAACAGACTAACAGTGGGTTAAAGTAATTTGCTGAAGGCCTCTGGGTGCAACAATGGCATGAATGTGAACTGAATGTAGATTTGTATCTTAGGTAAAAATATGTATCTTCAGATTTCTTATTAAAGGACTTTCCCAAAAGCACTTGCTAAACAAATGAACACTTACTAGTTAGTAGTTTTCTAAGTATCTGAGATAAATAGAAATAAGTCATGGTTTCTGTCTCCAAATGTCCTGTATTCTGCTACAGAAGGAATTATAGATAGATACATAGAGATTACCATAATAAGTATGATAAAAATGTAGGCAGGGTACTGTGGGTTATAAACTAGGCGATTAAACACCAGTGAGAGTTGCAAGGAGGCATTCTGTTACAGTTAGTGCCTGTGTGAAATCTTATAAGGTAAGACGACAACTGATGGCTTGGAATTCGGGAAGGAATGGGCTGACAGGACATATGACAGAGAAAGTAGGGAGCTAAAACCAGGCCAGAGTGGCAAAGCATGATAGGACCACAGACACAATCAAGAAAACACTATGAAGAATGTATTGGTGCCTGACTGACCGACTATTGGGATAATAAAGTTCTAGCCTCTTAAAAACATTGAATGTCATGAATAGATCCAGCAAGATCAGACATTCCTTTCTGAAACACCATTCTTGAGTAAGAGAGGATGGATATAAAGAACAGAAAGCTGGGAACCAGGAATGGTATATGCAGATTAACAACTACTGGGCCAGAGCTTAATGGAGATCAGAGACACAACCTGACATATCTCCAAGAGGGAGCACTGCATGGTACCACAGACAGAAGGAAAGGTTGGGAAACTGAGGTAGAAGGTGGGAGAAAAGATAAATCCACATTCTTGCAGTGTTGGCAGACCTAGGTGGTGAATTTGAGTGGCTATGCTGTGTTCTCTACTCAGGTGAACTGAGAATTATTCTTAACAGGTTCCTTCTACAGAGAATGTGCGGGAGCCTGACTCAATCTTCTCCTAGGTATCTGTCTATATTACAGGTTGTAACTACAGATGAACTTAATCCACATCCTTGATGAGAAGTCAGAACAGGGCATTGCCTGGAACTGCAGACTCAGTTCTAGAGGTGACCTCAAGTATTTCCAGGTAATAAACCTGAATATCAAAGGGAAGGAAGAAAGGTCCATAAAAAAGCAGAAGCATAGAGAAAAGATGACACCTCGGAGGTATCTCTACTTCCAAGTGGAAAAAAATCAAACTTCTAACTTGTCTAATGGAGATCCAAAAGGTCTACCAGATATTACCTTTAGCTTAACATAAAGAAGGATTTCTGACAGCCAGAAGTACTCAGAAAAATGGGCAAGTCAATCTTGCGTATTATTTTATAATAACCAAGTACCACAGCAAATTAAAACAACTGAGTAGCTGGAAACAGAAACTCATTTTGCCACAGTTCTAGGAGATGGAAGGCTGAAGCCTGTGAAATCAAGTTCCTTGCCTAGGTACTTTCACAGTCTTTCTTCTGAATGTGTCTGTACTAATCTTATATTTTGAACACTAGTCATATTCGATTAGGGTCCAGCATAGTGTGCCTACTTTAATTTAATCCCATCTTTTAAAAAAATTATCTACAAACAGTCTTATTTCAAAGTACTAAGGGTTAAAACTTTAATATGAATTTTAGATGGGATGTGGTGCAGATCACAACATAATCCGCCAACAGGAATATAGAAAAAGAACTGTGGGGTAGCAGAAACTGAAGCATCTAAGCTGGGATGTCCTTGGAGGCTCCCATAGTTCTGAATCTAGGCATGGCTGGGCAACACTAAATGCCTGCTATTAAGCATTCTTAATGCAACATCCTTCCTCATATTTTGGAGAAAAAATACATTTTCACGTCAATCTAAATGGGTCAAAAGCACACTCTTCTATAACATTCTCCAAAGCATCATGCAGGTGGTCAGGGATACAGAAATCCACAGGAGTACAAGCAAAGACTATTCTTACCTGTGAAAGAGAACCGACTTGACCAGGGTGACAACATCCCTGCTAGCGTTGTATCCTGCACAGACAATAGCCACATGGATAGTCTGAAAGAAAAGGAAAAGAGAAGATGAACTATCATTGAGATAGAAGCAGGCCTTCCTGCCTTGTAGGACCACAGGAGAGAAAAATCGTCCTAATTTCTTTTGGGGATCGATCATAGGAAACAAAGGGCACCGCAAGCAGTCATGGAGAATAACTTGAGACAGTTTTATTAAAGTCCTTTTAATCGGTTTATGAGCTATCATCATTGGGAGGACACCAAGACTCTTCAACTACATTTTAGAGATGGCTGCAATAGTTATTGGCTCAAATGGGTGATTCCCTAACCCTCAAGCTGGGAGATAATGGCCATGGGCAAAAGAGAAGAAATGTGCTCTGGTGGACCAACATTCAGAGCTTTCAAACTGAGAAGTTATGGTTCAGAGTGCAAACTTACAAAATACATTTATAACTCTTAATATTTTCACCACTGTTCAAAAGTTCAGAGCGAAGCTTCTTTTGAGAAGCAGCCAATTCATAACTGTATTTATGAAATCAGAAAATGAACCAGACATTTCTAATATAAAATGGTACAATAAATACTCTCATTTGAAAATGGAGTAATGAAAGAAAACAAAGGACAAACTAGACAACAGCAAAAATGAAACCAAGCAGGGCAAACAACAAAGGCTGAAGTTACTTGTCCAGCAACTATGACTCATGATGACATTACTTAGGTACAACATGTTCAGGAGGACACATCCTTCCAGTAGAATTCCTTGTGGCAACTGTAGTTTCCCCTTTAAACTACTTCTATTTTATATCTGCAGTTTTTCTTGGGGGTATATCTCTGGTTGGTAGCATTGCTAGGGTCTGTGCAGCAAAATAGTTTGAACTTCACAGATTCATACCCATTCCTATTGGGCAGACCACATAAAAATCTAACTCAGCAACACATTACCTCAAATAAGTGGTCTGTAGAGCGTTTATTCAAGTCCTTATGACTCATTCTTGAATTTTGCAGGTACTATGGTGTTCTGTAATTGAATTACAAGTGACAGAAATATCTCTTCATACTCTTAAAGTTGCCAGTCAGGCTGGCACATTTAGGTTGGCTCTTCCCTACGGTTTATAAGTTTTGTTTTGTTTTCTAAATTAATTTTAAATGGGGATGGATATGAGGAGAGAGGAGGGGAAGAGAGAAAAGAAGAAACAGGAAGATGAAGCTGAGCACTTGAGTATTCCCTGCTAGCTAGAACCCTGCTTTTGGATGATTCCCATGTATCCACCTTGTCATTAACTTTCTTTTGATACACTGTACTGTACAAACATTGTCTTCTATTTCTGGCACATTTTAACCAAGACTGGGAATAAATTCTCTAGTTTAGGATGAATTTATTAAAATGTTATGATCTGTCAAAGAATGCACAGTCCCTGCAGTAAAGACTGCAGGAGCTCAATATAACCAGTCACAATTTATCTAAATTCAAGAGCACAGAGCAATGTATTAATACATGTATTATAGTTCCTTGACCCTGTGTATATTCATAATGCCCAGAATAGCAAGTGAAGGAAATGGTGCTGCCAACAGTGGGCAGGCCTCCTTACACCAACCACAACATTCAATACAATCCCTCACAGATGTACATAGAGACTTTTCTCAGGTGATTTCAGAATGTGTGAAATTAAAAATTAAAACCAACCATAACAATGGGTCTTCTGACTGCCCAAGCAGTCACAACTCCTAACTTCCCACTCTCTTTGGAAGCCTCTTCTAGATGTCCCTCTTCTATGCTGATCACACCACTAGATGCTTTGTGCAATGACTTCTGGCTAACAGGAATTCTTCACCACATTTAGTATACCATGGGAACCACATGACATCAGACAGAAACCATAAATTGTTCATCAACCTCCATCTACCCCCATAACCTCTCTGATCCCAATTACTTTCACTTACTCTGACCACTTCCATCACCCCAATCCTCAGAGGACTTCACTTCATCAGAACATCACTATGTTATGTGGTTGCCATAGCTACAGGATTCTTTTTTTAAACTTTTTTATTTACTCTTTGTGTCTTTCACATCAATCATCTAGATCCCATTCATTTCCCCATCCCCTTATACCCACCCTCTGCCCCTGCCACCTCCCCATCAAAATAAAATTAAAGAGGAAAAAGAAAACAAAACAAAATCTTTTCATAGAAGCTGTAGTGTGACACAGTGAGTCTGGCGGTAAACCTTTTTACTCATATTATCTTGTTCATTGTAAAGAGTCACTGTGAAGAACCAAGAAGAGCCAGAAAAATCTAGGTTAGCTGGTTTAGTGACTGTTCCAGGAACTAGCTGACCATAAAGTTAGATTATAATCTTGAGAATAATATTGAGAAACGGGGAGTTACCCCCTTGTGATTATCACTAGTATTTTTGGAATTTTCCAATGATGCCCTCCCTACTCCCTTTGGGTTATGGTTTCTTCTCTTAAATACTCCTTCTCCCAGCTACTCGGGGTCGAACTCCTCTACCCCTAAGTGGGATATGAGTCTCGGTCCCAGCACGCTGGTTCCTGTCAATAAACCTTGTGTAATCACAAGCAGCAAGGATGGTCTCTCATGAGTTCTTGGGGGGGGGGGGGACGTGTTATCCTGAGACTTGAGTGAGAGTCTCCCCACTCCGGGGGTCTTTCAATTGGTCTGGCTCAAGGCCTTTGGTTTCTGCTATGCTGTGGATGCTGGGAACTCACTGGGACTCTTCTTGGATATCATGTTATGGCCCTGTGTCATAAAGATCCTGCATCTTCAAGCCTGCAGGACCAGCCCCTTTCACATGCTCCACCAGATCAGATGGTGTGGATGTTGGGGTGGGTCAACTCATAATCCCGGTTCTAGGCCTGGGTAGTTGCAGGGTTGGTTAATCCACCATCTCACCCTTGTTTTCATTAACAGGGTGAGGTCTCCCACATTGCCCCAATTAGTTCACCACTTGCAGCATGAGCAAGTGGCGGGGTTAATCCTCCTGCTTTCATGCACCATCAGGGTCCACTCTACAGTATTGCCCGGATAAGGTGCAGGGCCTGCTCTCCTGAGTGCTTCAGCAGATGAGGGGCAGGGGCAGCTTTCCAGGTCTTATGAACTCAGGACCAGCTCTCCTACTCACCTCAGCTGTGAGGGGGAGAGGGGGAGGGCATATCTCTCCCGCCCAGGCCACCATGAAGGGGGAAGCCAGATCTCTTATGCTCACATTCTGAGGGTGGCACACCTGCAGCCTCCATCAACATGGTCAGCTCCACTAATTTGCCCAGATGAGGTACAGGGCCTTCTTTCCTGAATGTTGCAGCTGATAAAAGGGAGGGTCAATTCCTTAGCCAGCTAGAAGCAACAGAGTCAGAGGGGGAAATCTATAGGATTCTGAGAGCCACTATAGCAGATTCCTCTACTATGGATGTCCTACTTTCCAAACACCTCTGATTGTATTCCCTTAATGTTTAACTGTCCCCCTATTTGACTCTTCTCTTTGTCTTGCATTCTTTCATGGACAATGAAAAGTGGCTGTCTTAGCCACAAACTTTGACAAACATCATAAGTTGATATCTTATAACCAAAAGTTGTAAAATTTAAGATGTATTGTGATGTTAGGCCTGACCTCAAGGTTGTAAAAGCTCTTTGAATCTGGCGTTGATTTTACTATAAAAAGAGGCCCAAAACCAGCACCTACTGACACAGCTACAGTTCCGTCTCTGGCTGTAGTCACAGCTATTGCTGTGCCCATGGAGATTGTTTTTTTTTCTTTCTTTTTTTTTTCTAGAATAAAGTTTATTTCTGGTTTAATAGACTTGGTGGACTGTCCCTTCACCGTTTGTACGACCTTCCAGGACCCAACAAAAGTAAGCAGAAGGGTGGAAGGTTGAGAGTTATGGGCCCACTCTGTTTCCTGGATGTCTATAAAGTGTGGGGAATTGCCTCATATTCCCAGTAGCCCAGTTATGAGCCTTTCTCACAAATATGTGTCCCCTAACATGATGGACTATATCCTCAAGAGACCTGAAATAAAATAAAGCTTTCATCTTTCAAATGGCTTTTGTAGAAGTAACTAATATATAAGTTAGCATTTAAATTGTGGAAAAGAGCTTCTAAAAATATATACAGTGTGCCTTAGCAATAGCTCTTAATGAATTAAAATATAGTCTCTGATGCCCAGGATCTTCAGGCATTCTGTAAGAAGGTCATGCTCTCTACATGGAGCACTTAACCCAATTCCAAGATTCAAGAGATATAAAATGTAATTATTTGGGATAGGAATGTTACTGATATCCTGTAGGTAGAGCTAGAAATGCAGACAAACATTGCAAAGTACACACACAGACACACAGACACAGACACAGACACACACACAAATCTTTACCCTGCCTATGAATTATGGATTATTCTTACTCCAGTGTAAACCATACTTTTGTTAAGGGCTAGGAAACAGCTCAGTGGTTAAAGCACTTGCTAGGCATTAGAAAGATCTCAGAACCTTTGTGAATTTCCAGCAGGGGAAGCCATTTCCTGGAATACTAGCCCTTGGGCAGTGGAGCCATGGAATACCCCCAAGCAAGCTACTAGATAGCTAGTTTAGCTGAATCCTCAAGCTCTGGGTTCAGTGAAAGACCCTGCAACAGTTAATGAGAGAGAATCCAGAAGACAGCTGACACCATTTTCTGTCTTTATATACATTCATTCACGCACATTGTTAAGAACAGCTGACTCCATTTTTCTTTTTAGTTTTACAATGTTAGACTTTGAGCATTTCCTGAGCTAAATGTCATTTTTTGATTGGTTTTCCCTCAATAATCTTGTGAATTATACACTGTAACTTGTTTCTGTTTTTCTATAAGTTGACTGACCATAAAATATATAAAATGTTTGCGGTATATTAATTTTCTCACCATAACCTCATAACATGTACCTGTCCCACAGTCACAAAAATAACTGGTTGGAAGATTCATCCCAGCCCCCTGGCATCCATATATACAGAGTCTGGAATGTTTGGTGGCAAAGTTCCAAGCCCCCTCCCCTGGAAGT